ACCAGATGATATCTTCGAAACACTATACTCTTCATCTGTGATTACAGTAGTTGCGAAAGAGAAGTCACTGAAGAAATCCTTTCCAACACCCAATTGCTTAATTTTAGCTTTAGAACCTAAAATAGTGCACCAAAACTCAATTAAACAAACAGGAGCAAAAAAATACACTGTTCACTTTTTTTTTCTTTTTTTTCTCTCCTCTTTTCTCATAAAGACATCCCAACTCCCAAGAATGCATTAGCTTCTATATATTATTTAACAATCAAACACAGTAAGTTGCAGACATGCTATAAAAAGTCCAACTCCTTAATTTTAGCATTAGACCTAATGGGAGAGTACTTAAACTCACTTTTAACCACCTATACAAATAAATCTATAGTTCCATTTCTCCATTTTAGCATTTTAAGAATGTTTTTCTTTTTCTAGGAACATCTTTTGAATGCATAAGCGTCTCTAATATGGAATTCAACAACCAAACACAATAAAACTTTGGCATACAGAGGGGGAAAAAAAAAAAAAAGAATGGTTACCATCCTTGAGTTCTTTTCCATCCTTTCTGGGCGAAGTCATGATGTTATGATTTCTGTGTGGAACATAGCCTTCAATTGCATTTGATGGACCCATCCACTCTTCAATGGGAACTTCTCCTATACTGCTTTCTATCTTCTCCTGAATTTCAAGCCCCAAATCACAACTGTTCCTCGTATTTTCCTTAGAATCCAAACTCAAATTCTCAAACAATCTAAGAATTTCTTTAAGTTTCCCGGGATTCATAACCGAACATCTCTCATCTTGCAATCTCCCAGAAAAGGCACGACTGTTAATGAGACAAGTGGAAGAGCAGTACTTATATGTCTCTTCTAAATCATACACCTTATGCTCTTTTAAGGAAATTCTGTACCGGCCTTTCCTAGTGTTATCAGATGGCAAATTAGATTGGCATAATGGATATCCACAGAGGTTTGCAATAGACCGCTCAGTCACCACGTCTTCATAGTCACTGCGAGACATCAGAGATCCAGCTGCAAATAGCTGGTTCTCATTATGAATTCCGTCAAGGAGTGCAAGCTGCAATTTATAGACTGTGTCTTTGATCAAAATAGTCTGATTCTTTGCCATTGGCAAAATTCCTCAATATGACTTCACTTTCCTGTAAGTGAAATGATAATTTAACATACATCGACGCTGGATAAAGATTAAACGTCTCGACATTGTATAAAACAATCAAACAACAAGGATAGGCACCATTAAGACACTTGATAATTTCTATCCATATAGCTGCTAAAGACCGTTCCATGTACAATTTGATTAGTTTTTTTTCCCTATATGAACATAACCAATACCTGCAGAATAAAATGCACGGGCACGGACAAGGCCACACACTATTTTACAAAAAAAAAACTAGTAAAGACAACACACTTAGACTTGCAAGTCAAAATATATCTATACTCTCATACAATTCCATGAAATTATACTTCGACATATATAGAATTTTAAGAGCATATTCAAAATATCTCAGACCAGCACCAATACGAAACCACAAGTTCTTTCTTCACTCGAATCGTCCGACCAGACCGACAATCTAAACCGAGACAAGGAGAGTTACGTAAGTAACAGCAGATGTTGACAATGAAGACTTCGCATAAGGCACCTCAAGAGAAGAACATGCCAGTGACATTCAAGAGATTTCAACAGAACGACGGAGAGAGAAATACTGCGGGAAGCAAAAACAGTAAATAGGAAGATGAGCTATCAGACCTGCAGGGATTGGACGCTAGCAGTGGTTAAACTTTCCTCCCAAGGAACTTCCGCCGAGCCGATCGCCGCCGGAGAGGACGACGAACACGATACCGTGAGGAGAAGCCAAAATTGAAAACGTTTCTAACTTCAGCAGTTCGGTCCGAGGGTTTTAATTTTCTCTCCATAAGAACCCAAATTCAGACCCCACCTACGACTATTTAATTCGAAATTTATGAAATGTTAAATTACTAATTTACCCTTCTCACTTTCAAAAATATTCAATAAATTTTTAATTATATTTTATATTTTATATTTTATATTAAGTCTAATTAATCCTCTATATATATATATATAGTATCGAACTCAAATTTTTTATTTTTTTATCTGGTATTAATTCATTTTAAGAAATGTCATTAAAAAAAAAACGAATGACATGTTAAACACAAAATTGAAAGTTCAAGAGTCTTTAGATATAATTTATTAAACGCTTTGGCCTGTTACGTATTACCACCAGCCTCACGATTTTAAAACGCATCCGCTAGGGAGAGGTTTCCACACTTTTATAAGAAATGTTTTGTTCCCCTGTCTAACCAATGTGGGATCTCACAGTAACCTTGTGTAGGAACGTGGGTGTCATGTTGGACCTTGATGAAGAGTTGGCCCATTTCATATCGTCATGGATGAACTTTATTACCCGACTTCAAGGGTGGGAACCACTAGTCTCTATAACGTGTTAAAAAATTCAAATCAACTCAATCTAAATCATCCTAATATATATATATATATATAGTTGAGAATGTTTGCATAATCCACCCCAACTAAATGGTGTGCGAAAGTTATCTATTAATAATCAAATAAATTACAAGGATATAGAAATAGTAATATATGGAAAGAACAATATATAGAAGACAAATATCTATATATTGATCTTACAATAAAATATCAAATATGATATACATGGTAAACTATAATTTAGTATTAAATATCTTTGACCGTAGTCAACCTAATCCATGTAGTTTGGGTTGATTACGAACTTAATTAGGTTTCATCGAGTTCAAATAAATGAAAACTTTATAGATTAGATTAATCCACGAGTTCTCCTAAAACTAAATTGGATTCGACTATTTTTGTTACGAATCACTTACACCACCATTAAAGCACGTAATCCGATTTTAAATTAGATACCATTTGTTTTTAATAATAATAAAAGTAAGTAATCTAAATTTGCATGTTTGACCAATAAAAGGAGGGACAAACTATCATGGGTATGGGCACCTTCAATTCAAGTCCTTTCCTTAATAATGAAAAGTTGAAGTTAATAGGGCCTTAATCCCTAATTAAGGAACCTAGTGACATATGCTACTTTCTCGAATATAGGAGCACCTATAGGTCGAGAAAAATATATCATTTTTGTGAAATTTTTTTTAAAAAAATTAATATCCACGAACCAATATCGAATATTTAGAGCGAACAAAGCTACGGGTTCTATCCACCCCAGTTAAAATTAACCATAGACATATGTGTTAACTACTTCGTCCTCTAAAAGCACTTACAAAATAGTTGAATTTGACTCACCGTCGTAATTGTAATTGTTTTTAAATTGAGTTCTTTCCAACTCGAGATAATTAAAAAAAAAAAAGGTAATTACATATTTTTTATATTTATATTTAAAAATACGTAGAAATGATAGATCTCCTTATAGTACATATACGGTTTGAAAATTAGGGAGTATTTTTAAAACACTGTTATTTCTGTATATATTTTTTTATTTTTAAAAAAATTGAGGATGGAATATATTAGTAGTAAAAATATTATTTAAATTCAAGGATATTATTATTTTTTTTTTTTTGACGATGTATAAATTCAAATGTATTTTTATTATTTAGTTAATATTTAAAAAGTATTTTTAAGTATTTAAAAGCAAAAAGGAAAAAGAAAGACTAAATTTATTGGGAGCGTCAACGCAATCATATCACTGCGTCAGAAAAAAACATTAAAAAAAATATAATAAATAAATAAAAAAGAAAAAGAAAAGGGAGGCATTTTTTTTACCGAATACGTCTCCTATTATATTATTATTTATTAATTTTCTTTGAAAATATCTCTAACACTAAGCTTTAATAATATTTACTTTCTAATTATTTATTTAGTTCATAATAATTAATTAATGAAACTTTACCCAATTTAATATCCATTATGATTAAGGTTTACTTTTCCTATGAAATGTTTGTTAAGTTAGGTCAATTTTAATTAGTCATTTATTATATTAAATATAATCATTATTATAAGATAATTATTTAAAAAATTATATGATTTAAGTTGCTAAATTATTTGGTATAATATTAAAAACTAATATTAGTACCTTTAAATTAGGAGAAGTTTAAGATGAAAAAACAAACAATTTTAATAGTTGGTAATTTTTAAATTTTTACCAAGTTTAAATTGCAACACACACAAAGTTTATAAAATAATAAAAAATAATTTTAATATTTATTAAAAATATATAGATTAATTTTAGATATTTAAAAGTATGTGAACTAAAATATAAATAGATCAAAATGTCATTTTCACATTTTTCAAATTTAAGGTAGAGTAGGCAGTGACTTTACAACCACTCAAATTAATTAAAAAATAATTATATTTTTATAATATTAAAAAAATGTTAAAATAAATTTTTGGTGTTCATATTTTGGAGACTTATTTAATTTTAGTTTCTGCCCTTCTAATAAATCTCAAATTTAATCCACATTTCCAAATTTCTTTGATGTATTGATTTTTCAATAATAAATTATGAAAATATATTTATCTAATGTACTTTATTACATGTGGTTTATATTATTATTTAACTAATTTCAATAAAAATTTAATTTTAAAAGGATTAAACTTAAAATTTATGAAAAAATAAATAGACGAAATAAATAAAAAAATACCTTAAAATTTACATTTTATTTAAAAAATACTCATAAATTAAAAAAAAAAAAACACTCTTGTGGTAATAATTTATTTTAATAAAATTAAAGTAGGTTAATTTTACTTTTTAAAATTTTTATTGATAATTTTTTTGATATATATTTTTTTAAAATTTAAAATTTTATTTTTGAAATAAAATATTAATAGATATTTTTCTTAAAATTAAAAATTTAAAGAGAGAAAAAAAAAATATATATATATATATATATTTTATTAATTTAGCGGGTATAAAATCTACCCTACCCGCTTAAAAAGCAAAAACATAAACGCGTCTTACAAAAGCGTAATAATATAGTGGCGCTAAGAGTTGGATTGATTCGCTTCACATAATTACGACTCGAGTGCCAACTGCCCTCGCCCTGCCCCTCTCCACCGCTCTCTCTCTCTTCTCTCTCTCCTCCCTCTCCGATCTCGATCTTCTCTTCTGGTGGAGAAGAAGATGCAGATGATGGTCTCCAAGGCTTCCTCAGCCATGGCCTCCATGCCTTGCACTAGGGTTCGCTTTTACTCTTCTTTTGTCTTTCTTTTTCTCTATATTTTCGTTTCGCAATTGCACTCTCTCATGTTTTCTCTGAATTTTTCTTCTTGTTTTGTTGGAATGTTTTCGATGTTGTCGGTTTTAAGCTATGGATACTCTCCAATGTAGCTGAAGCAGTCTCGCGGTTTATTTTGTTTTGAATCTTTGTTGATCGGCCTTGTTATATCTTCTGCTACTTTCTCTTACAGTATGACGATGAATATCTAACGGATTCGATTTTGTTGCTCCTCTTGTTTGAAATTGGTACTGCTAATTTTGTTGCTAAGATCTGTAACATCACGATGTACGATCCTTCCTTCTCGTGTCTTGTATCTTGTCATAGTGGGCAGTAAGTCTGTAATGTTGTCGGGGTTTATTGAACAGAAACATGTGTTTTAGCTTTATTGACGAATGGGAGTTTCAGGTTGGAAGCGTATGTGTCTGGCCGAGCATGAAACAGCTTTCTTTTAGAAAAGACCTTTTGTATGGGGTTATGAGACTCTTATCTATACCATTGAAAACATTGCGTGGAGCTAGTCGTTCACTTAAAGTTGCTCAGTTCTGCAGTGTCGTCAATATGTCTTCCACATTGCAAATTGAACTGGTAAGCTGTTAGATCTGGAAATTGCTTTTATGGTGTCAATGGCATCAGTTCTTTTTTCCCATGATGGTTTTGTGGTGGTCATTTTATGATTACTTTCTTGGGTTAACATTTTCTTTCTAAATTCATGCTTTAGTTCTAAAAAAATTTCATCTGAGAGAATTTCTAATTGTAGGAAGAGGCCCGAATGGTCTAAATTTCAATGTGTTATTTCTTTCCAAAGTTAGATTGCTTCAACTATTGGCATACATAATATATAACTTTCACCTGCTCAGCTACACGATATATAATTCTTGTTCTGAGTCCATTCGAGTAAGGTGGCTACAAATTATATTTAATGAGACATTAGCCATGCTCTTTTTGTGCTCTCACCCTAAATGAATCCATTTTTAGGATTGCTGGTTGTCCACTATCATTGTACGTTCTACATCCCACAATAACTGCTTAATCAGCTGCAGCATAAACATTCATTACGTATCTCTATTTTATTCTACTCATTCTTCGATAGGTACCTTGTCTTCGTGACAACTATGCATACCTCTTACATGATGTTGATACGGGCACAGTTGGGGTTGTTGATCCTTCTGAAGCTGTACCAGTTATAGATGCTTTAAGAAAGAAAAACAGAAATTTGACATATATACTTAATACACATCATCATCATGATCACACTGGTGGGAATGAAGAATTAAAAGCAAGGTACGGAGCAAAGGTATGAATTTAATTTTTTTTTTTGCATTGCATCAATATTCTAGTTCGTCTCATCCTATAAATGTTGTATGTTTGAGTCCTAAAGGTTGGTCATAGAGGTAAGAACCTGTGTACCTAACCTAGAGGCCATGAGCCACAAGACTTCTTGAGGCCATTGTGTGAGAAATTTATTGACTCTCAATTTCTTGATGCCAGAAGAATGTTTATCTATTAGTCTCTATTCTTAATCCTTTTATCTAGTAAACATAGTGGTGAATATTTTTTTAAATATAAACACAGATATCTATTGTCATGAGAACATCATGCCTTATCACGTCAAGAAATGTTACATTCTTCAGTACTGATCAGAAAGTATTTTTTGTATTTTGACTTGTTTTGAATTAAAAACTTCCCTAACTTGTCCTTTAAATTAAGGCTTGGATTGAAATGAATTAAGGAATTGATGCTGACTTATGTTATACAATAGTCCATGAGATATTTCTTATCCTTGAATTGAGGGTTTACTTTTACAATCCATAGAACTTCTGTCAATTTTTTATACCCTTTTTTCTGGCTGTAGGTGATTGGCTCTGGAATAGATAGCGACAGAATTCCTGGAATTGACATAGCTTTAAAGGATGGAGACAAGTGGATGTTTGCTGGGCATGAAGTGCAAGTAATGGAAACTCCTGGTCATACTCGAGGTGTTTGTTACTTGTTACTTTAGATTAGTTTCTTGTATGATAAGATGTTGTAGACCACGAGATTAAAGGAGATCATTCTCCAAGAGATCTAATCCCAATCTTTATTATGATTCAAAATGTGTAGAATATATGATAGAAACCCTTACTTATAGGGAATTAGAGAGCAAACTAAAGTCCAATCCAAAAATACAGTTAGATAGTTAAAAAAGGATTAGTCAAGGAATTGTAGTAATTATCTAAGATTAATCTTATCCTACAATCCTATTACATCAAAATAGGTCCGCTAGATTTGTTTCTTGTATGATAACCCTCCCCTTCCTCCGGACGTGCATGAAAAATGAGGAAATAAAAGATGAGAGTGAGAATAGAAATGGAAACTTCTATTGTTATTCTCTATCATTGCTACATTGTCTCTCATATGGTTTAGCCTTGCTTCGCTCTCCCTATTGGATTTAACTTTGATTATTATTCTTTATTAATGTTCTCTTAGCTGATTTTTCCTTGGATACTAAATGTGGGTTTGTTGTGCCTATGGAACTCGGGCTTCTCAGCATTCTATACTTTTAGGCCCTGATTTGTTGTTTTTGATTTTGACTGAATTCAGGTCATATTAGCTTCTACTTTCCTGGATCCGCTGCAATATTTACTGGAGATACTTTATTCAGCTTATCTTGTGGCAAGCTTTTTGAAGGAACTCCTGAACAGGTTTGTTTGCCTTATATTTTTCATTTAATTGGATGTTATCTAAATGTGGTACTTCAAGAATGCGGAATGCCCAGATAATTTTTTCTTGTTAGATGTACTTATGAATTATGATCTGCTTCTTTGTGCTTTATTTTTCACTCCTTTGGCTCTTGTCCTGTTGTCCCACCAAGTTTAAGAATATTTGACTAAAGGATTACTCAAAATCTTGTATGTTGGATTGGAAGTCATATATTGTTAACCTTAATGATATTCAGTCTGTTGTTGAAGTCATTTCATGGCTTAAGATTGATGGAGATGAGAGCTCTTTGATTGGTATGGTTTGTCAGGTCTCCAAGCTTGAGAGATTAGTGTCTTTAGGGGTGAGGTTTTGAGTGGGATTCCATATTTTTCCTTCATAATTCAAGATTCCTTCCTTTGTTAGTTTACGGAAGAAAAACTTCAGGAAGGACTTCTTCTCGGAAGGGGTCCAGGGTGTCTCGTTTAGTCAGATGGAAGATTGTGTTGTGTTCAATCAAACTAGGTGGATTTGTATAGGGAATTTGAAACTTTGTGATGAAGCCTTGCGAAGTTTCTTTTGATGCTAATGCTATATTAACATTGGGTTATAGTGCGCAAATATGACCATCATCTAGCTAAGTGTGCTTCAATTTGTGGGCGTAAAGATACTTTTAGAATTTTATGAACATCTTATCTCATCTGGTTATCTAACGTTCTCCAAGTTTTTGAAGTTCTCTATTCAAAATTGAACAGCAGGGTGAAGGATAACACCCCATCCTTAGCTATTTACGCCCTATCTTTGTCACTTCTCTCAGAAATTTGTTTCAGTGGCTTTTATCCTTTTGAAGGTTTCTATTTTCTACAACTTCGGTTTTGGCCTTCCCTGGTCTGATAGGGGGATCTTTTAAGATTTCCTCATTGCTCTCTTTGTTCTCCTGGCCTTGCCTTGGGCTAGGGATGTTCCTCAACGTGCTGCCATTTCTTCGGGGGAGATTTTCTGTTGTTCCCTTTATTCTCATCTCATGTACCCTGTTTTGTGGTTCTCTCATGAATAAAATGGCACTCAGCTTCAATATGCTTTGTTCACTCATGAAGTATCTATATCCATGTTATGGAAAAACTATTGTTATTAAAGAGTGAATTTGCTGCTGAATGTGAATTAAGCTTAGAAACTTGATTGCTTTTAGTTATTCAGATTCTAATCGTTTATATCACAGATGCTATCTTCCCTTAAAAAGATCACTTCTTTGCCAGATGATACCAACATATTTTGCGGTCATGAATATACTCTGGTCAGTAACTTATTGACTTCTATTTATTTATTTTCTACGATACTCCAATTTTCTAAGCTTGAATGCCGTTTGCCTAATTGTAAGATTACCATTTAGCAGAGTAACTCTAAGTTCGCTATGTCCATTGAACCTAAGAACGAGGCTCTCAAATCTTATGCAACCCAGGTTGCCAATCTACGAAGCAAGGGCTTGCCAACGGTAACTTTTTGGCAATTCTTTTATGGATGGTTATTTGATATTTAAATTGGTTACTAGACAAATTTCTTTCAATTTGCGTAAATAAGGGTGATTGTTTCTTCATTTGAAAACCATTGCCTATTTGAGTATTTTGTATTCCCTTTCATTTGAATTGAAGATGAAAAGAATCGTCACTTCCTGTTTGTATAGTAGAATTGTTCAAAACTTTACATATAATCGGAGAGGTATTGTGTGTGGATAGAAGCTTGCATCGTAGCAGTATGTGGCTAAACCTATTGTCTCTTAAAGAACCTTTTTTGGATAAGGAACTATTTGATTAAAAGCATGAACTTTTTTGTATTCTTCAGTCGTGAGTTTGCTTGTCCTGTATTTTATGGAGAGTTATTTGTGATGTTATGAGCTCCTTGGAAAATTTGACTTTGTTGCTATGAAAACAATAATTTTGGTATGAACCCAATGCCATGAACATGGCATACATGATATATCCTTCCATCACCCCAAGTATTTTTGAACTTTGATTTTAATATCTCAGATTCCAGCAACATTAAAGATGGAGAAAATGTGCAATCCATTCCTCCGTACATCAAGTATCGAAATTCGACAGTCGTTAAACGTTCAAAATACAGCGGATGATGCAGAGGTGTTGGGTATGATTCGCAGAGCCAAGGATAATTTTTAGGCACCCCCTACAAAACCTCAAAAGAAGAAGGGGGTGGGAAAGTTCATTTTGGTGTATAGGATGATGATAGGTTAGCCATATGCATGTGTAAAATAAGTTAAACCTCGATGATTTCCTACAAGTTCCATTATCAGTTCAGTTCTTAATTTTAAATTCGCACCTCTCCTGCCACGAGAATTCAATCTTTTTTGTTTTCCCTCTTTTGAAATGAAGAGTGCAATCATTTGATCCCTGATGTATATTCATTATTACTATTATTATTTAATTATTTGATTTCATTTTAATTGATTATAGAGCTGATGAAATCAACAGGTTTAGAAGGAGATCCTCCGATGATTAGAAGGTATGCATGGGTGGTTGGTTCATGCTCAGAAATGGGGTGCCATGCAAATATTGCATAAAGGTCAGTAAATGATGTGTTTTTGTCAACCTTGGAAAGGTCAGGTCTCATATTTCTTTGTCAAGAGGTTGATGAGGATTCCCCAGATGTCCACGTGGTGCTTTGTCAGTTGATGAAAATTTCCAGATGTCCACCTGGTAGAAAAGCTTTCCTCTTTTCTACCCCAACCAATGTGTGACATCACAATCCACCTCTCGGGGTCTAGCGTCCTCGTTGACACTTGTTCCTTTCTCCAATTCGATGTGGGACAGCCACCAAATTCACCCATTTTGGGACCCAGCGTCTTTACTGGCATACCGCCTTGTGTCTACCCCCCTCGGAGAACAGCGAGAAAGTTGGCACATCGTCCGTTGTCTGGCTCTGATACTATTTGGAACGGCTTAGATTCACCTAGCAGATATTGTCCTCAAGGTTTTAAAACGTGTCTACTAGGGGAAGGTTTTCACTCCCTTGTAAATGGTGTTTTGTTCTCTTCTCCAACCATTGTGGGACATCACTAACTATATATATATATACACACACATATACATACATGCATTTTAACATTGAAAAGTTTTCACTTATCAAAGTATTTTTGAAAATGTATAATAAATCGAATAATATATTATATGTTTAACCTAATTCTTAAAAATTTAAAATATAATTTATTTATTAACGGTAGGTATACATGAGATGAGTTGGAGATTGGGGCAAGTATGAGGAATCTAATCCCGATTTTTGGCTCAATTTAGTTAACAAGGAGAATCTCTTCCTACTTCCTTTCTCCATTATTTATCCTTTGTTCAAGCAATAGTATATGTCATATAGTTAATAATATATCGATACTTATGCAAAATTCTTCAATTTTTGGATAATTTTTATGCATTAATAACATTAGTATGTTATTAATATTATATCACATGATGTACAAAAGTTTTTTTAATATGTTTTTTTTTAATTTGTTTTTATTAATTTTTATAATAAAAATGTCGATTCACCCTAATGTCAAATCTATTGCCCTACGAAAATATCAACATATAAATAGAAATTTAATATCAAACTACAACAGGTTCATTCTTAATTCATATATTTTCAAATAAACACGTGTTTATTTCAATTTTAAATAAACAACATAATAAAATAATATTCTATCACAATTCTCGTTAAATAAAGGTTAATTATAAAGTTGGTCTTTAAGTCCGAATTAATATTAAAATTTTAAAAATTATGGAAACAAAATTTATAAATTTAACCAAAATAAACGGAGTTTTTGTAATTATTTTTTCTGACTGAGTAGCTTTTTTTTTTTTAAATACCAAAATTACCCTCCACCTGCCGTTTTTTAGTATAATATCTCTGGTCCGGTTCTTGTGCCTTCAAATTGGAGTGTTGAGTCCATAAATAATCTTCGTATTCATCTTTCTCTCTCAGAGTTCGTTCCTCGAAATATGTCCTTTGTTGAGTTGGATTTCTTCGCCATGGACAGTCGATCCCTCAACTCCGACTCCAATCCCACTCTCTTCCGTCGCCATAGAAGCTTCAAAGGTTCCACAATTTCTTTATGCATTCTGTTTTTCATCCAATGTTTACAAATTACGCGATATCTTGCTTTCAGATATTCAAGGCGCCATTTCCAAAATCAATCCTGAGATTCTCAAATCTCTCATCGCCTCTGGCTCTACAGAGCATAGTTCCGATTTCGCCACTCCGATTCCTCAGAAATTTCCGCCGCTGTCACTGCACCGGACTCCTAATGTTGATCAGAATCTCTCCACGCCACCGCCTGTTTATTCCGCTACTACCTCTAGGCATTCTTCAAATCCTTCATTGTTCGGTTCTGTAATCGTAATTCGTTGTTTGATTTCTGAAACTCTACTCTTCTTTTTGTTATAAAATCATGATTGTGGTTTCTGATTTTCAGGATGAGTCCAGTGATCGCTTCCGAAAAATATCCTCTAACGATTTTCTACAACGAAACCGTCTCCGTTTTCCACGTTTCGCGTGATGAGGTATCATTCGTTTAAACCATTTCCTCTTCCTTTCCGTAATCATGTACGGATTTCAACCTAAAATATACGCTGCCTTTTACTGAAGGATGAAAAAAAATTAAAAGGAAAAATAAATTAATTTATATTCATCAGCTTTAGAGTTTATTAATTAAAATTCAACTTCAAACTTTAAGAAATCAATATAAAATTAAGAACTAAATCGATTTAGAGCCATACAAATTATTAGTTATCTAACTTGCACATATTTTAGACGTTTGAATTTGGTAAATAAAAACATTATATTCATATTTATGTCATTTTTATTTTTACAAAATATTTAGTGGATATTACTTTATTGGTTGTTGGGATAAGCATTCTATTTTATTCCACTAGTCGTTAAATTTATATTATATTGATTAAATTAAAGTTATTTTCCAATTTCATTCATGTTTTAAATCCCTTACTTTACTTGCACCTTTTGCAAAAGAATAATTTACTTGATATTTTATATTTGGCACGTTTTTTTAGTTTTTATATATACATAACTATAATTAGTTGCTATATATGGTCCTCTTTATTTATTCTATCCATCATTAATTATTTATTCTATCCATCATTATTTAGAATAGATAATTTATTGAGATTCTACCTTTTTTTTTTTGTTATTAGTATTAGGTTAGACTTTGTTAATTTGAATATGATTTAATCCGTGATTGAGTTAGTGGTCAAAGAGATAATTTTTTTTATAGGTTTGAATTTTTGTTCCATTTTTTATAATATAAATATATTCATTATATAACATGAAAATGAATTATTCAAGTGTGGTTTTGAATTTTATGTTTATTTTTACTGCAAAAGTTTTTAATAAATATTTATCGAAATTTATAATTTTGTTGAAAAAGAAATTATTCCTTACAATTTATAATCATTTCCCTTCTCCTCCTCTTACTTCTCTTACCCATGTGTTTCACAAATAATAATTATAATTAAAATAAAATAAAATAAAAAAGTAAAACGAAAGGGGATTTGGCCTTTGTTACGAATGAACCCAGAACTGAGGATCGATTTATATATGTGTATATATATATATTGAAAGAGGATTTGCCTTTTGTGCTAGAAGACGCTGATGATCGATTGGGAGAGGCGCCATATGGTGCTGTCCCCGGTACGACGTCCCTTTAATTAAAACGAAGTTGTTGTAGGATGTTGCGTGGGGAAGACAAGCTGAGTTTGCCTCTTTTCCTCCCTGTAGTAGGCCTGAAATGAACCCACATGTTGGTCCTTCCATATCTGAAATGAAGGGAAACACTTTTTGTGCTTTGAAAAACATAGTTAAGAGGGGAAGGAAACAAAAGGAACCATGAAAAAGGCCGCTGATGACTGGTGTTCAGTGTGTTGAGGATTGTCCTATGTTGACTAATTTAGGGAATGATCATGAGTTTATAAGTGCATTTCTCCATTGAAATGAGGTATTTTGGGGAACAAGTCTAAAGCAATACCATCTAAAGCAATACCATGTGAGTTTATGCTCAAAGTAAGAATATCATACAATTAATCAGAGCTGTGATTACTAACATGGAGGCGAGCGGCAGCGAATATCCACGGGCGACCATGCATGGAGAAAGAAGAGGGAGGAAAAAAAGATGGATTTTAAAAAATAAAGGAATTCTTTTAGTAATTAAAATCTCAAATGATCAAAACTGTACTTTTTCCAATATTGTTTGATGAATCTCGTTTCCCTGTCTAACCATATATGCTATACTCGCACTGATAGGCCAAAAACATTATGAGGTTTGCTGAAAAGGCGAGTGGCACTGGCACTGGCATTAGAAAGGGTGAAGCCGAAAAGGGCCGACCAATGGCTGAAATTACTTCAAATCAGAACCAGCAACCGGTGGCCATTGATCCTGAAGATGATGAGGGTACGTATAGGATAGATAATTTTCTAGCAATGTGAGTTAAAAATGAACAAGATTGGTCATTGATTTTTTAGTTGAAAGTGTATATGTTTTAACTGTATAATACAATTTTGGGAATATATATATATATAATTTCTGTAAGCCCTAAACTATAGATAGCCCTTATTTCAATGTCTTCCAATAATTTCTCTTAAAAGACTGGTTAATTTGTTCTCAGATCTTCCATTGGCAAGGAAAAGGTCACTCCAGAGATTTTTGGAGAGGCGGAAGGAGAGGTAACACCCCCAATGTTTATTTACTTAGACAGAATTTACTTGGTCTAATAGATATCTCTGTTTATGTTTGATATGAACTAAATCAAATGGAAGTGCAACTAACCTGATTTGCTCGAAAACACTTCATTATTCTTTCAATATTTTGGATAAAACTGAATCCATTGGCCTTCTTGAGTTAGAAACTATTAGGGATTGAACATTGAACATATGCATAATGTGAGATTTAAGTTAAAAAGAGTGTGATAAATGAGTAGTTATCAGCATGTCGATGAAATCTTTTAGCATTTGTTGATGAATTGGTAGTTTAAACATTTGATGCATCATCGACGTTTAAGAAATGAATTTGAACTGTGATTAAGAAGCTTCACATTAGCAATAAAAAAAGGATTTGTATTTATGTTCAGTGGGGTTATGATTTATAGGTTAATTCCGGCGGTGCCCTATGGTTGTCGCTTCTAATCAGGGAAGGGAAGGGAAGGCAAGACTGTCAAAAATAAATAGAGAAATTGGGAAGTTTAGTGTTTATTCTAAATAAGTACAAAATTATTTTGTACTGTTTGCTCTCTTTTCTTTATTGTTTTGTTAGGGTTAGGTGTTTATTGTTCCTTTTCTTTCTTATCTTTATCCTTGGACTTTAGACTTAGAGAATCAAACTTCTCTCTTTATTCCCTTAATTAA